TTCCTTTGAATTCCGTGCCCCCAGCCCGCAATCTGTGCTGGTTACCCACGCAGCTGAGTTACCGTTTGCTGTGCTCCTGCCTGTGACTCTTCCAGGGAAGACAGAGGCCGCTCTCCCCAGAGAGACTTCCACATCCTCTTCGTGCCGCGCCGCAGCCTGCTCTGCGAGCAGTGGCTGAAGGAGCAGGGCGTGCTGGGGTCCTTCATCCACCGAGAGCAGTACAGCCTGGACTTGATACCCTTCGATGGAGACCTGCTCTCCATGGAGTCTGAGAGCGCATTCAAGGTAAGCACTCATCTCGTCTTCGAGGACAAACGCTGTGCGTTTTTGTGTCGGCACAGAGCCTCTCGGAGGGTTTGTCGGTGACCTGCGCAGCAGGGAAAGGCCTGGCAGAGCAAATGTGGCTTGATCCCGAGTGCTGAACTGAGCCTGAACTTCTCTGTGTTTTTTAGCTAAACGCTGAAGGAACCATTGCTACACCAAGCTGCGCCCCAGTTCCTCCAGCTTTAACTGCTGGTGTTATCTTCACAAATCGAGCATTCGTGAGGCTTAAAGTACTTAGTCGTTACAAAGAGCCAGCACAGTTTGTGTCGGTAGGCAGCCGAAGAGCCATGTACAATGGTTAATACCGCGCACTGAAGCTGCACTGAATTAACAGCTGTCACATACCAGCTGTGTATCCTGTTTTCTCAGAATGCCGTGTCTGGGCACGGGAAGGTTTGAGAGTTTCTTTGTCCATCTCTGCCTTATTAAGTGTAGCCCAGAGGACACGTCAGGACTTGCAGTTGCTTGTTGGTTGCTTGTTGGTAGCTATGATGAGGTGGTGTGCTCTCAGATTGGCCTAATTAGAGGGAGAGGCTCTTTGCAGTCACTTTCTGGCTCTCTTACTCCTCTCCATCAAACTGGGAGTAGCGTGTGGGGTTCAAAAATATTACAGTGTCTGGTTTGATCAAATGATTTGATGTACTGACAGCACAGATAAGCTCCACGTTTGCCAACAGCCATAGTTTTTTCCCCAGCCTACGTCTCCTCTGAACTGTTCACACAGACCACATTCTGTTGTGGAAGCAGCTGTGTCAGATCGGCACCTTCCATCGGGAATCCTTCTTGTTGTTGTTTAGGAATGTTACCTGGAGAGCGACCAGACAAGTCTGTACCACGCAGCAAAGGGGCTGATGACGCTGCAGGCTCTCTACGGAACCATCCCACAGATTTTTGGGAAGGGCGAGTGTGCCCGGGTAAGGCAAATGTTGCTGCTGACAAAATACATCTTGTTCTTTGGAACTGCCTTAGGGAGCGTTTGGTTAAATGCACCTATGGGGTTTTTGCATCCAACCACGGACCCTTCTTGTTGTACTGGAATTTCAGGATTATGGCCATCAGGTCTTTGTCATCTCTGGCCAAAAGAACAATCTTTGCTGTTCCATAAGTCCTCTTGTCAGGAGGATTTATCATATGCTTTTTGCTCATAGGTACATTGCCTTCACGTTTTCAGCAGTTCTCCTTTCTGTGGAGTTTTAACGCTTAGCCGCTCTGTTGGTATCAGAAGGGCTGAATAAAGCGGGAAATGTGTAACCTACTGCTCACGCCTTAGCTTCTTCATCTCTCCCTATAACTCACTTACCCTTTTTTCTTCTCTCTGATCAACTTACGGTTTAATTGGTACCTTTTGTAATGAGGGAGCGGCCTGAGATAAACCCAGCGCTTCAGCCACAGTCACTGTCTTGCTAAGCTGCAGAGAGCAGCAGAGAAGTACTTTCCTTTTTTTGGTCTCATCCTGCGCCCATCTGTCGGCCAGTTTGCACCTCCTGCCATTCTCTTCCTTTACACAGGGGTGCACCCCATACTTGCATGAGCATGTGCTTGTGGGGCCTAGAAGTCAAATCCGTCTGTTGTGGCCTGCACCGTAACCAGACCGACGTGATTTATTTTCAGCACGTGGCTAATATGATGATCAGGATGAAGCGCGAGTTCCCTGGAAGCCAGAACTCGATATTTCCCGTCTTTGATACCCTCTTGTTGCTGGACCGCAACGTTGATCTGCTGACACCGTTAGCTACACAGCTGACGTACGAAGGGCTGATAGATGAAATCTATGGAATTCAGAACAGTGAGTACTGCTGAGTAAGGGGGAGGTCTCCAGTGTAGTGGAGCAGGTTGCAGTGTGTCAGGTGGATTTCTGCTTCACTAAATGACAGTGACATGGGAGCAGCTCAGCTGAATTTAGTGGGGGGATAGTTCAGTCCCAGGCTAGAGCTCATCAAGATCAGCTCTGGCCCTCTTTTTGCCTAGGAAGGGGAGTTGGGTACAGTGCATGTTATTGAGTGGGAATACTTTGGATGTTGACTGGGTACAGACACAGTGACACGGAACGTGTAGAGTGGGAGTGAAAATGTTAGTGTGTGCATTCACCCTCCAGCCTGCCTGGCTCACGTGCCACACCTCATGAGGGGAAGGGAACAGTCTATGAAAGGCCATTGAGAGCACTCTCCTGCTCTTGAGGAGGTAGTAAGAAAAACTCCAGAGAGGCATTTATGGGTTTTAATCCCTCCTGCTGTACTGAAGACTGGCTGGAAGGCTGCCTCCAAACCTCTTTGATAGCAGGGTAGCTAGCACGTGGGTTCTGATCATGTATGTGTGTACAGGTCTCTGGGTCCCTGGGTGACTCCTTAATTAACACATAGGCACTGAGTCGTCCAGGCATTTATATTAACTTCTGGTGGTGAAGTTCCTGTCCTTATAAGGGTTATTTCTCTGCATTTGGTAGCTTATGTGAAACTCCCTCCTGAGAAGTTTGCTCCAAAGAAGCAGGGTGAGGGTGGGAAAGATCTCCCCACAGAACCCAAGAAGCTCCAGCTGAACTCTGCTGAAGAGCTGTATGCTGAAATCCGAGACAAGAACTTCAACGCAGTGGGGTCAGTGCTGAGCAAGAAAGCCAAGATCATCTCAGCAGCCTTTGAGGTGAGGCCTGTATCCAACCGTGCATCCCTTGGGCATTCTTGTCGTCAGACACAGACAGTCTGCGTGCAGCAGGGCTGTGACTGGCAGCTCAAGCTGTTGCCATAGAGTAATCCCCCAGCCAGAGAAAAAACAGGTAGTCCTCAGAAGCCCCTCCAGTCTGTTCCCCTGTCCTGGAACAAGATGAGCTCTGTTTCGACTGTTCTGAATAGGTGTTGGTCAAATCTACTCTTAAGAATCCTATAGTAATGAGGATCCTTTCTTCTCCCCACACCTCAGTTCTGGGACTTTTCCTATCCTCACTGTTAAAAGCTTGTCTCAGAGCTAGCCTAAACCACGTTTCTGCTGTGTGAGCCCGTAGTTCCCATAATAGGAATTGCTTTCTTCAGTCTGCAGAACAGTCAGGTGCTGCTTCCCTCTGCCAAAGGTTAATTTTCGCATCCTGATCAATTCCACTTTGTTGCTGTTGTTACCTGTTAAGTGAATGGTCCTTTTCCCTTTGTATTCCCTGAGGATGCAGAGAAAAGGCTTTAAGAAATAAAACTCCAGAATGTACATTCATAGAGTGTTACGGCTGGCATAAAAAAAACAATAGGAATGTGAAAAAGACTGTTGTCTTACGGGAGGTTTGACCTGTAAATTCACGCTCACTTGTCGCCTTAGACAAAGCTGGAGAGTGCTGTGGGGTGTGTTTGTGGTTTTGTTTGAAAACATCCTGCTGATGATTCATAAAGAGACTGAGATCCCACATCTCTGCTTTCAGACTTCATGGTGATTCTCGAGAGAACTTGTTACACTGTTTGATTGTATTTCCTTGTTTTTTTATTTGCCTCTTCGCTTCTGCCACATTTAAGACGAGGTAGTGGTACCTTAACTAAAATACTGTGTGCTCAGCCTCGTCTCCTAGTAAATGTCTGTTACTGCGATATTAGTGCTGAAGGTGCTAAAGATGGATTATTCATAGTGGTGGTTAAAAAAAAAAAGAAATTTAAGAAATTGTCAGAGGTAATAGGCGATAATGAAACAGCAGCATACTGGCAGCAGAGGACTTCTTAAATTGCAGGCTTCATCATTATCACTCTCCTGCCTGCACTTGCCCATTTAAATCCTTCACATATGAGTCAAATTATTATTATTATTTTTATTCCAAGTTGCAGCAAGAGGCAAGTAGCCCAAATGAAATACAGACCTCTGGACTGCTCTGAGAGCTGAAGTCTGCATTGTGCTTCATCAGATCCTTGCTCAAAACCTGGGACGTTGTTACAGGCAGGGACAGTGACTGGCGGGCTGCTGCTCGAGAGGGACGCAGACCCTGCCAACCCAGTTCCTCAGCACCTTTCACTACTGTTTTGAGGGGAAATGTCCCCCATCTCTGACTGCATTTGCCTAGAGCTCCATGTTTACTGGCAGCTAGCAAAGTAATTCATCTTCGCATGAAAAAGGTAGTTTTGCTGGTAGGGAAACTGAGGAGCAGATAGTGATGGCTGAAGTCAGACAAAGGTGAAGAAAAGTGATTGATTGGCAACACTGGTATAATGAAAAACAGTCTAATGATCCTGTTTTATTATGTCCTGCCTCTTCTAATGATCAAAGTGTTGTTACAGGTAATGCTATGACTTTAGTTTAAGCATTTAAAGTATTTTGTCTGAAAGGTTGCATATCTCTAACAGTGTCTGCTGTTGCAGTGAGTACAGTAAAAAACCTTTTCATGACAAAATTACCTAGTTGGTGAGTGGCCAATTAATCTGAACAGGACCTAACCTACACAATGGATTTCTTTAGGAAAGACACCACGCAAAAACCGTTGGAGAGATTAAGCAGTTTGTCTCACAGTTGCCACACATGCAGGCAGCAAGAAGTTCTCTAGCAAACCATACCTCCATTGCAGAACTCATCAAAGACATCACCAGTGAGTATTCGTTGAATAGTCTGACTAATTTAAATATAGCAAGATGCAAGACAACTTGATGGACATCATTCATTTTGGAAAAAATTGGCTTTGCTCCATCCCATGCATCTCTGCTGAAATGTTAAATGTAGAAAATAAGCTGTCGGTTGCTATTGTATTGATTTTCATTCTTTTCCCAAAGCATCTGAAGATTTCTTTGATAATTTAACAGTGGAACAAGAGTTCATGTCTGGAATAGACACAGACAAGGTAAGTAGATAATGACAATTAGTGACTGTTACGTCTTCAAAAAAAAACCCCAACATTTTTCTCTGGGTTTTTTCCATTTGGGGTTTTTGAGAGGAAACATCTGATCTAGAGAATGTCTGTCTCCTTCCACTGTCAAGGTTGTGAGCTCTCACTTGCATCTCCTTGCATGTTTGCAGTTTTTTCCAAGTGACAGGCATTGCTGAATGTACTTGGAGACGGCGCTGTACTGGGTGCTTTGCCAGGCTCAGGTTACCTATCATTGCCTGTAAAGCAGGTGTATACAGCTGCGGTGCTTTGACTTGTACAGGGGCACTACGTGCTGTGGGCGATCAGCGAAAGATTCAAGACTGTTACTCAGAATTTTTTCAGTGCATCAGACAAAGTCTAGCTGTTGACTGTGGAATCGACATGCTTTAGAAAGGTGCTAGGTGGAACCAGTGCTGGATCACTGTTTTACAGACGGTCTTGAGCTGCCCGGAGAGCAGCTGCACCCTCTTTCTTGCTGTTTTGGAGATATTAGGCAAAACTAGATCTTTGTTTCCAGGTCTTCTAGGCACTTCAACAGGTCTTTAAATAACAGCTTATGTATTTTTTTTAATAGGTTAACAATTATATTGAAGACTGCATAGCTCAAAAACATCCATTAATCAAGATCTTACGTCTCGTTTGCTTGCAATCTGTATGCAATAGTGGACTGAAGCAGAAGGTTCTGGACCATTACAAAAGAGAGATTCTCCAGGTTGGGCTGTAACTTTTGGATTGATAAATTTCTGAGAAAATCCACATCAAAGCCTCCGCTCTATGACACTTGCATTCTAGACAGGCACATCTTATACGTGGGTAGTGTTGATGTCCAGTGCGTACAGACGGAGCACTGAGGCTTCTGTTTAGGCTGATAGCAATGACTCAGGAGGTGCTTATATGTGTTTTACAACACATAGATACAGAGAGATTTATATCATTGCACTTTTTGCTCTCATGACTTAAATACTCTAAATGGGATACACTCTAGAGAGATCTTAAACAAAAAAGCTTTTTTAAACTAACATCTTTGCCTTCTTTTTTTCTGGTCACGGACTATTGACATGGTATTAAAGGTGAATTCTCCATATTGCAGACTTATGGCTATGAACATATATTGACCTTAAACAACTTGGAAAAGGCTGGACTCCTGAAACCTCAGACAAGCGGTAGGAATAACTACCCAACGATCAGGAAGACCCTGCGCTTATGGATGGATGATGTTAATGAACAGGTAAACAGATGCCTCAGCAGTGAACGTTACATCCAACAATACAGGATTATGCGCAGCAGGAAAACCCTTATAATTTTACTTTTTTTATTATTTCTGTGGTGCTGTTTTGCAGCATGACGTAGCACTCACCTGCTGCTCACACTCTGCTCTTTCCTGCAGAACCCCAACGATATCTCCTACGTGTACAGTGGCTACGCACCACTGAGCGTACGCCTGGCACAGCTACTGGCTCGGCCAGGGTGGCGGAGCATAGAGGAGGTTTTAAAGATGCTGCCGGGTCCCCATTTTGAGGAGAGGCAGCAGTTACCTACTGGCCTTCAGAAAAAGCGTAAGTTTTGCTTTGCTTTCCCATTTTTTAAAGGGAGATGCATCTCTGTTAGGCTGGAATGAGGCAAACTGAAATCAGGGCTGGCAGAGTCCAGGCATCTATCTCATCTCCCCGTCCCACTGCAGTATTGGATCAACCTAACCCATTTTTGACAGATAGCTTTCTGGCCTCTTTAAAACGTCCAGTCACATATTCAGCCTGCTATTAATGCACAGCACCATGTGCACGGAAAACACTATAGAGTTGTACATTTGTTTACCTTCTCATCAGAGTACTAAAATAAACCCTAATCTTACTAAAATCACAGTGTAAGTGACATTACTTTACAAAGAAGGTCAGTATCACTCTCCTAGTATTAAGCCTGGGCAGGCAGAAACACATCCTGTAAAGAGACTCTAGAGCTGGGAGCAGACTCTGCATTTCAGGGCCCCAGTCTGGTATTCTGCCCAATAGGTTTCTCCTTTAATTCAGCTGCTATATTTATTTCAGTTTTAGGTCATTTTGAGTTTGACTGACAGTTGATGGATAGGAAACGTAAAAATAAAACGAAGACAATCTGTAAATTTCTCTGAATACGCAGGTCAACACGGTGAGAACCGAGTCACTCTGGTGTTCTTCCTGGGAGGTGTGACATATGCAGAAATAGCTGCACTGAGATTTCTGTCCCAAATGGAAGATGGAGGCACGGAGTATGTCATTGCCACTACAAAACTGATCAATGGAACAAGCTGGATCAAATCCTTGATGGAAAAACTGGAGCCTGCCCCTTTCTAGGGTCTGTGGCAAGAGACAGTAAAAGTAAGAGGCCCTGTGCAACACAGCCACATCAGCTTCTGGTCTTTTAGGATGGCTGCTTGAACGTAAGAGGAACACGACAGTGAAAGAAGCTCTCCTGAGACCAGCTCGTGATGCAGTCATCACCCTCATCCCTCTCTGCACTTGTGTTCCTACTGTTTGTGGAACTTCCTAGTAGACAAGCAGTGCTGAAAGGCACTAACAATGAAATAAACAATGGGAGAAAGAGAGATCCCTGCTTGTCGTCTGAATCTGCAAACAAGTGCTAGGGGAGTGGTGATTTGCCCTGGTCCTTCTATTTGGCAAATTGCTTCTGTTTTTTTTTCTTTGTTTAGTTTTGATGGGTGATGTGATTGATTACTTCTTTTTACCTTCCTAAGATACTGAGGAGGCAGGATGTTTTCTGTTCCTGATTTCATACCAATATTCCCATCTGTCTTTCTCTCTCTGGTGCCTGATACAGTCCATCGATGCATTGGCTCTGTTTCTGTCAGAGAAACCCAGGGTTCAGTATGTGGGGGGGTTTCCTGCTCTCATCTTTCTGACGAAAGCCAAGGAACTTGTGTTTCCCCCAGCTTCAGCACATTCACATCAACAGGCAACAGTAGCTAAATCTTCTCACATCATTGGAAGCTGATTGTACAACGGAAAGAGAACTGCTGTAAAGGGGAAGCAGTAACGTTTTTTACTGCATGGGTTTAGAAACTTCATGGCTCTCGGGCATCCAGAATAATGCACCTGCAGGACCTGCTTAGCCTGCACTGTACTGAAACAAGCTGTCTGTTGTGGTTAGTTGCCTGTAGGCCACGCTCAAGTCCACTGTCCTGCACACTTTGGCCAAGGCGTTCATTGGATTTCCTGCAGCAACAGCTAAACCTTGAACTATCCACATGCATGTCAACAGCACTGACTGCGAATACAACCAACTGCACCCAAATTACGAGGGAGATGCTTGAGCATTATACTTCAATTGCCCTCTGAAGGGACTGGCATGAGATGGTTTGTTTGTCCTGACTCTGGAAGGCAACTCCAGGGTATGAATGACACCAGTGTGTCAAGAGCTTACGTTTGAAGACACGCAGATACTCCCTGCATGGGACTAAGGCCAAAAATAGCTATGTCAGTGACCCAGTAAACAGGAGGTTTAAAACAGACACTTTTTTTCACTGCCCCTGTTCAGTTTATAAATTGCGGTACTTGCTGCCACAAGCTGTTGTAGAGCTCAAAATTAGGAAATGGAATTTTCCATGGTCTTGGTGGCTGAGGCCTTTGTGCTGCTGAGGCAACGTGTGCAAGAGGCAGCTTCTGGCTGCAGAAGACTCAGCCTTGCTAATTGCTAGAGGCTGGGAAGGCAGACCAGGGGTTGTTGCTTACGCCTGTGCAGCTGTCCACTGCCAGAGCCTGTGCTGCTGCGCCTCAGCCCTTTCTGCTGGTCACTGTCACTATACTCACATGCTTCAACAGCAACCACTGGGGACTGCATTTCACTCTTAAATAGCTAAAAACAACTAAAAAAACCCAAAACGAAACCAAAACCACACCTTAAATCACTCTCTTAGCAAACACTTCTGCTCTTATTTATCCTGCATAATGTGTAATATGTCCTAAAAAAACCCTTCATTTCTCCAAGTTGTTCCAGTTACGACTGTGGCTTTCAGTCTGTTGTTTTGTTTTCTAAGATTGAGTTCTGCCAAATCAGCCCCTTCAGAGAGCCCCTCTGTCTAACTCCAGTTTGCTTATTAGAATAAAATAATAAAAGTATTTGATCTTTTTTTGAAAGTATTTGCTCACTCTCTCTCTGGAATACAAAAATAAGTAAAATAAAACCCTGCACTGTGGTAGTTCTTCCCCTGCCCCAGGATAACTGAATTACTTAAGTTGAAACTACTTTTCTAACATCTGGATGTTTTCTTCTTTAAGCTTCTGCACTAACTACATTCTGTTCTGCCATGTAACATACTACATCAGAAATATCTATGGGATTTCTTGACTTTTAAAGAAAAATATATTTTTAATCATTTGAGACTTTTACTTCAGGTGGGTAAGCAACTTTCAGACTTGTCTTACAGAAACAAAACATGCTGCAACTTTGACAATGAAGCAAGGAGCAAACGTGGATTGCTTCGCTCTGCATTATTTCTGCAGTTCCACTGTAAAGCATCTAGTTTCACAGTATTTAAAAAGAAAATTAAAGTAGCTTTGGACCAAACATTAAACATTATTGTGCAGGGGAAAAAAAAAAAAAAAAACCCACACACCAAGAAACAATGTGATTCAATGCAATCCTTGCAGAGTGTCCTGGGCTTGGCCTTGACAGTCTTTGTACTATCACAATTTCCAGATATATTTTTTTTTTTAATCTTAAAAATTTAACTAATTGCAAGGAAATCAATAGCACGGATTGGGCTAGTTTGTGAACTAAGCTCATGACGTGTAAAAGCTACACCACAGGTGAATAAAGGAAACCACGCAAAGCACCAATTCAACAGCTTGCTTACCTTTTCACTTGGACCAGCAGATGTGTTTGTTAGTAACACTAGAGGCAAAACTTATTTCAAAAATAGTTTATGCCGGACACTTGGTAAACTTTAATTTACCAACACCACTGCTGCATATTTTTTTGCAGGCTGTAGCCTGCACCACCACTAAGCTAGAGCCATGTGGACACTCAACCTAGACAAAGTCTCTTCCTGGAACTATTCAACAACAATGGCAAAAAATAAAAGCCATCTTGACGTTGATCGATTCTCTGGAGGAGCAATTATTACTTAACAGGCTTCCTGAGCAGCTTGATTATGTTCTGCTTCTAAGGCCTTGCTGACCATGCGGGTAATAATTTGATAACAAGAGAGCCTAATTCAATTAAGGGGCCATTTTCTACATCATAATATCTTTGTAGGTAAGAGATTTGATTTGCAGTACGTACTCTTCCTTCTCTCTGCTGTCTCCATTTGTCTGGTTTACAAGCAAAAAAAGAAAACATTACCCAACCTCCACCCCAAAAGACTTTCACTTTTCATATAACATTATCGGAAAGCGGTTTTGCTAAAAATAAACATATAGCTTATCTCCCTCCTCCCCTCCCCTTGCTGCAGAAGAGTTGTAGTGCTCTGTCTCTAAAAGGTAGGGATGACTTCTTGGGTGTGCAAGGGTGAAGCCAGAGCAGTGAACTAGTGACAGTGCAGCGATTAGGCTGTCTTCAGTGCTCACGCTCCTTTGATAAAAAAGCCCGACTCAGCCCACACAGGTCCATCCTGTAATGTGCCGCTGACCTGGGACAATCCTCAGCTGTATGTGAGCATCCTCCTCCCCGAGTGACCCACAGAAGCACAGGGCTCTTTCTTAGAGAATGAAGCAAGAGGCACAACAGCCTTCCAGATAACAGCAGAATAAAAAGTGTAAGATGACACAATGCTTTGTTAGAGGAAAACCCCCCACATTTAAACAAATGCAGGTTTTGACCTGGTAACACTAAGCCATGGTGCTTAAACTCACAAACTACCGTTGACAAAAGCACTCTGGGGAAGGGGAGCTATTTGGCATGCTCTGTACTGCCGTGCTGCACAGAGCGCAAAGGCACTATGTCATATAACTGGTCCTGACCACACCTAGTGCATTAGTCCTCGTGTGGGCTGCAAACACAACCTCATTACTCCTGGCTCCCCGACGAGCAGCTCAGAAGGGGATCAAACTACAGCACAAACCATTTAGAAGCGAGAAATTCAAGGGACAGCTGCAGAACAAAACTAGAGAGAAATAGGAACTTTACGAAGTAGAGCCCCTCATCTACCTGGGTAAGCAGTTTATTTCTTTATCAAAATCTTTTTAGATAATCAGAAATCATGTAAAGCCTATAAATAGAAAACTTCAATGCTTTGAACAACTGGGAAACCATGGTGGTTTTAAAATGCAATAGCTGCTATAATGTATACATGTGCCTCAGCTTAAAATGAAGGGACTGAACTCTTATAATAACACCAAAAGAGTGAATTTATTTTAATCAAAAAGTGAACTCTTTATCACAAGAGCACTTTAAAAAATATTCTAAGTGGCAGGATAGGAATTCAGTTTACTTTGGCTGGCTTTAGACTGTTTAGAAGAAAATGATCCCTTTAGGTTAGCTTTATCTTAAAGCTGGTTTTAAATTCCCTTTATGTGCTTGACCAAGAGTGTAGATATTTTTGATCAAGCACAGTTATGATCAAAATTAAAAAGAACACGTAAATTGGAGAGACGGTAGAATTTTTTAGATGGGTCTTCACAGCTTTAAGTCTAAGGAGCGAACTTTTGTGAAAGAGTTCAGATTTTATATTAAACTAACAAATGAGCAATCACTTCTAAAAAGTGATGTGTAAATACAACTTTAAAATACAGCTAGAAGATGAATTCTAAAGCGTCTTACCCCGTGTCTCCCATTTAAAGGTTATTTTTAACATGAGATATAAATATTTGCCTGTGCTAACTTGTATTTAAGTCCTGGTTTTCGTCATTCTTAAACAAAAGGCTCAGTTTGTGCCAGTATCTCCATTAGATGCAATTATATCATTAAATATTAATGGTGGCTTCCTTGGAGGAATTGACCACTTTGATCAGAACACACTGTTGGTAATGCACCATCAGCGACCGCTCTGAACATGAAGCTTCCTGGATGCACAGCCACTGACACAGGGGGAAAGATACCAGGAGCCAGCTGGACTCTCTAAGGGCCTCTAGCCCTTACCGACACGGCAGTGTCCACTGCCTGTGCGTCTATATGTTAATTTGCTTAGCTACCAGTCCCGATTTGGAGACTTTGATCAGATCCCGAACTCTTTTTCAACACTGCACAGCTCAGCAACCCCGAACAAGCACACAGAAGTCCAACCTGACACTAACAACCCTCTTAGAAGGACGGGTGGCCATTAACCCTCCTGAACACAGCCATTTCCCCCACAGCAGAGCCAGCCTGTCGGCTCTGCGGTCTCCTTCCGAGACTCATCCCGTCCCTTTGCTTACAGACCGGGGAGGAGCAGGGCAACAGCCAGCCCCAGGGACCCTACCTGCCGCAGTGCCGGGGAGAACCATGCCCGACTCCTTCGCCGTTCACTTCCTGAAGGTGCTGAAGGAGCTGCTGGCCTTTGTGCTGTTCAGTTACACCGTGCTGGTCGGGGCGCTGCTGCTCGCCGGCTGGACGACATACTTCTTGGTGCTTAAATGAGAGCTCCTCTTCCGCTCCTGCAGCCACAGGCTGGCCAGAGGCAACAGGCTCCACAGTGCAGCTCGTCTTGCGCGTCTGCTCGGCACGCAGGATGGCAGCCCCTTCCTCCTGCGCCAGATCTGCAAGCGTTTTGTTTCGTTACTGCCTAATCACAATCTTATTTTCTTATGTAAAATGAATAAAGATTTAAAAAAAAAAGTATCTACATGCATGCGCTTTACTGATCTTTGTGGGTCTTGCAGATTCTTTGTGTCTCCTAGACATTTGCCCCTGTTCCCCAAAATATCTAAAAGCCTCCCACTATTTTCTCCTGAGACTCCCACCCCACGCCCAGCCTCGAGAGCACTGCAGTCTGCCGAGCACAGCGGAGGCACGGGAGGGATGCACACAATTCAAACATGACCGGCATCTCAAGTAAACAAGTCCTGCCTTGTCTAGCTCTGCCTCATTAACGGTGTGAAGGCAGAGATACAGAAATTACTTGTAGTTTTTTTTAGAAGTCCTGCGAAAAGACATTTCAAATCAGCATAAGGTTTCCCTCTTCCTACAGTTTTATGAGGTACACTTCATGGGGTGGGGGCACCAACACATTATCTATAGGCCTATTATTTGGCACTCCCAAGTGTGCAATGCTTTTCAACAAATGCTTAAAAATGGATTTAGCTGAAAGATGTGCCTGTGATACAGCACTGCCTTGCTAAAACTAAACTGTGCTGAGTAAACCGAGTCTCACGGAGAATAGACAGGAATTTCTCGTATATACAAAAAGAACAGATTTAATTGATCAAGGCCTTTCATGTAAACTATACAGAAAACCTTTGCTGGAGAAGCTAGGAACTATCACTAGCCAAAAGCTAAGCAGCATCATATACTCTTGAAGAACAAAGATGAATTAAACCAGGAGTGGGGTAGGGAGGGGAGGTGGGGAGCAGAACCTGTGGAAGTCAGTCCGTGCGATCTCAGCCAACACTTCTGCTGATGACCTGACACACAGCTGAAGGCTGTTCTCTGCCGAGCTGGGCCGGCCAGGTGCCCCTGAGCAGAGTAACACAGAGGAACCGGCCAAGCACGGCCTGAGCTGAGAGCTCCTAACACCATTTCTGCTTCAAAGGCCCGCGATGGCGTGTCCCGAGGCAAGTGCCGCTACCTGAAGGGCAGAGCAGCTGCTGGGGCAGCCCGGGGCGGCGGGAGCAGGCGGGAGCAGGCGGGAGC